GAGGAGGGATGTTTTCTTTTCTACTTTCTTCAAGCTGACCTTTTTGTTTTTAGTATGGCTGTAGACTGGTATGAGAACTGAAGGCCAAACACCATGTATATCATAGTGTTTTCAGTGACAGTGTTTTCTAATCTGGTTTAATGGTAGTAGATTCAACTTCGTTGGATGTGCAGGTGGCTGAAGGTACCTTCAATAGTCTTACTTTTCTCTGTATGTGCATTGTTTCTGTCTGAATGTCTTTTATCTCCCAGCACTTGTTGACCATTAGTTAACTTACTTTACTTTGAGTACATTGTTATTAAAGTGATACAAAATAAGCAGATGGCTTGAGAGTGCTTCTGGTAGGTCCTGCTTCGTCTCTTTTTCTCTGTCGTTTCTGTCTGTCTGCCTTTTTTTTTTCTCAGCACAAAATGAACATTATTATGTCAGTGTGCTCCAATTTACTTAAACAAAGGAATTCTGTAGTATTGAAGATGTGGTGCGACAGGCAAAGACAAGTGACAGATAAGAGTAAGACCTCACGTGGGACTTTCTGCAGGTTCTCACCAAGGACTGTGAGCACGAGGTTCGGTCGAGGATCAAAGAGGCTGCGATTGACATCAATCTCAACCCCGTGGTGATGAAGATGTGCAAAGAAGACGTGAGTAGTTACATTTACTGAGCACTGGTGGAAGAAATTATATTGATGATAACAGTAATGATAATGATAAAAATAGTCATGAAAATAATAATCGTAGTGCTAATGATACTGGTACTGACCATAATCATTGTAGGAGTACATAAAATTATTTTCCTCTGTGCTACCAAAGATAGTGAATAACAAGATGGGCCACTCAGCCAAAAAAGTGTCCGCAGGAAGTATGCTCTTTGCTTCAGATGGCGCTGCAGTCTGTTTTGAAGCTCTCTTTCGTTTTTCCAGAAAAAGAATAGGAATAGCACCTCCTTGCGTGCGCAGATCGACTGCTGTTCATCAGCACTTCGAGTACGTTCAGTGCGGAGTT